TGGGGATGACGACACAAAGGACTGTGAAGAAGAAAATAGGCCAATAAATGTTCCATGTCCTGCGATTGAAGTTGAACAACCTTCTGTTCCTAGCCTTCATTCATTTTGTGTCGAAAATGATAATAGTTTAAACAGTGATTCATCACTTTCACCCTTTAACCCAATTTTTGCTTCATCATTTTTAAAAGGAGATGGGCATTCTCTTAACACGGCGATTTTAAAAAGAGCTGAAGGTCCTGTTAGCCCAAACATTAAGAGGTGTCAGAAATCAAAAGACCATACTAATGATTCATTTTCCAAGAGCGATAGGCAGTCTTTTTGTCCAAACATCGGTTCGCTGTATTCTGAGAGATTTCAGAAACATCTAGGCCAAATTAATGATATGTCAGTTTCCAAGGGAAATGAGCAGCCTCTGAGTCCAATCACAGGTTTGTCATATTCTAAGAGAGGTCAGAAACCTCTTAGTCCACACCTTGTTCGTATCAGTCCAATCCCCATTCCTTCACTTCCCACAGAAGCTGAAATGGCCGACGTTCCATTTTCCTCTCTGTCGCTGTGTAAGAGACAGGAACAGTACAACAGAGAAGTGTTGGAAGACGATACTGTTCTTCCACAGCAGCTACCTGCGGCTGAAGATTTGAATGAAGTGGGTGTTCAAAGTTTTGGTTTCAAACAGAATGCTAAAAGAGTATCTAAGAATAAAACAAAAAATAAGGAAAATATCGAACCTACCGTTGTCACCAAACAGAAAGAGAAATTCAAGAAGAGAAATACCAGCTTCGATCTGGCCAATGATGGAACTTCTTCACGTGATGACAGGACCATGACAATACAGAAAACAATTGAAGCTGGTGGTAAGTAAACACTAGATTGTACTAACTACTCCTTGATATGCGATGGTAAAACTTCAGAGAATGCCCACTTGGAAGGCCAGAGACTAGAAGGGAATATGATAATAGGGCATCATAAATAAGAAGGCTGAGCTGTTTCAGGTTTGTGTCCAGTGACAGATAGGCTTTTTGAGCAGTGAAACTGTGGTTTCTTTTGCAAGAGAATTAGTTCTGAAATGAGATAGAAGAAATTACAGAACATTTGAGTTCCGAAGACTACTGCAGTATATCGTTTGGTACCTTAATGAAGCAAAAGTTGAATAACACAGATTTTGAGGTTAACGGTAGTAAATATTGGTCGTGATAGTTACTGTACTCGTTGTCAGTTGTTGATCTTGTTTCAGATAAAGGATTGACTTTGGCAGATGATGATGTCAGCCAAGCGTTGCAACTGACAGAAAGTCGTGCTGACTTCGTATATGCCACTACCACTACGTGGAAAGTGCGTATATTTCCTTTTTTTTGGTATTACATCTTGAATTATTTCCTGGTTTTATTTTTTGCAGAAATTTATTTACAGAGTTTAATATTCAGACAAATACAACAACACCATTTTAACTGTTTTAAGAATATGTATTCTACAAAATTGAGTCAGTCTGTGCGTCAGGATTTTCAGGAAATTGTAAATTCTTGTAATGCAAATACCGCGACTCAATGATCTAGAATTATGTAATGGAATTTCTTCCAGTGCACAGCTTGGTTTATTGAGGAGTGGATACTGATATGCCATGTGAAAGTGAGATATGTGTTAAGGTAAAAGAGACTGTTTCCATGCTGCATGATACATTTATTTTATTTTTGATAATGAGTCAATATAGTGACTAGACTATGAGCTGTGCAGCTGATGTATGATTTCCAGCAGTTTAAAGAGGCTCTTAGGTACCATGTCCAGATCAGCTCTGGGGCCTACCCACCGTCCTATGCAATAGGTACCAGGTGTGAAGCTGAACATTACCTCCATCTAGTGTCGATGTCTTCCTCACACATATCTATGGCATGGGGCTTAATAAGCACCAGGGATAACTCTTATACCTTTTTATTTATGTTCTAATTAGGTAATATTTTATGTTTATTCTCATTTAGATGCGCGAGTTGATGCGTCCTGTAAGGACAGTGCTAGTTGTAATGAGAGGAATTAAATTGCAGGTTGTGAACCCGTGTACAACACAGGCAGGAGGCTGCATGACAGATTTCATACACAAGTCAGCTCAAGTTATTGAAAACAGTTTCACGCAGGCGTTCTTGAAAGGCAGTGAGAAGAGGTAAGTCTCCGAAATGATATGAAAATGTGGCTGTTTTGCTATTGTGATAAAATAAAGCACATTTTCCATTCATATGATGGAGAATACTGTGAGTAATTCTTCAATAAAGTAATTAAACATTGAGTTCTCTTTTGCCTTTTCTCTTTGATGCATACAGTAAAGTAATAAAAGTTGTTATTTCAATGGTTGCAATTTTAATATATAATTGTCTGACTTTTTTTTTATTTTTCATTCTTTAGAGACTGGTCTCAAAAGGGTTAAACATGTAAGCAACACAATTTTTTTTTTTTGCAGGAAGCTGCTGGTAACAGATTACATTCAGAACATGGAGTCAGAAATGGAGAAAATTGAGAGCAATGTCAAACACCTCGACCAGCAGGAAGCTCGCTTGCAGAAGCTGGAAAATTACGTTAAACACTCGTTCAGATTGCAGCACAACTACTTGAATGAGATATCAGACAGGTAGGTTCATGTCTCATTCAAATTCTGCGTGAACTACACACAAAAAACAATTATATTCCAAATTGGGCAAGAGAGAACAGAAGAACATTAGCAATGTAATGGCCGAGTATCGCTGATCGTAAATTACATCGCAAAATATTTTGTCCATTCTCTGTATTTTTTCAGTGATTTGCAGTGGGGGAAGATTATAGACTTAATGGGTTTCTCTACGTGTAATTTATTGTTCTGGAAAGCTTTTGTATTTTAAGTTGTTTTGATGCTTAGCTAATTGGTTGTACTCAAAATAAGTGGAAATCTGTTTCCTTTTATAATTTTTCACTCCTTGTTGATTGATGTTAATGTAAAAGTTGTTTATGTGCATGAAGCCTTGGTGTTTGTTTATTCCAGACACAATTCTGGTGTTGAAAATTTATAAGTATTGCACCATGTAGATGCATAAATTATTTTCATGTTTACTTTAATTTCTATACACCATATGAGAAAAGTTGTGGATTTCATGTTTCTGTTTTTTTTTTTTGGGGGGGGGGGTTGTGAGTCATTTTTGAGAAATCTGTTGTAGTTTTAAGTGAAATTGATGTAAAGTCCATTTTGTAGTGGTAAATAGACATCTTCCTGGCTGCGTTTGTTGGACCTCAGATGTCATGAAAATCTATTACATACATTGGGAGATGAAACACATTGACAGCTCTGATGCACAGATGTGACCTGATCATTATGTATTCACGTTATGTATTTTATTCATGAGTTACAGTCAATTCAAAATATAACAATTAAATGAGACAAAGAAAAATTAAGGTTCTGATGGGATATTATCAGTTAAAAGTGGTGTTACTTCATAGCCATTTGAATACAAATTTGAATCTTTGGATTACCAATGTTTTCCATGTCATCTTGCAGCAAGGACCATGTTAGTAACTGCCACTATCATTTCAATAAGTACTGGCAAGAGATGGAGAATGAGCAGCGAGCTTTGCCGTTGGCAGAGACGGACGGAGACTTGAAGCGACAGTTGCAAAACCTGATTGCAAAGAAACTTGAGGAAGAAAGCAAGAATGATGTGACTAAACTCAGGGTCAGACTGCAAACTATTCTAAGCTCCATGTGAGATGTGTGTTCAGAATACACCTCACATATTTTCCTTCATTCACTGTGATAAAACGTTGATTTTTTTTTGTAGAAATTTAGCAGTGAAATATGTAAAAAGGTGAAGTTTGGGACCTAGATTGAAATTATTAAGTTTTAACTCTTCTAGCAGGGCCTTTTGAATACTTACACACTGTGTAACCACAGGGGGTTTAAATGCCGGCTTGAAGGGTTTCCAAATATATCTGTTGTACTGAAAAACTGGTGATTAGTGTTAATTCACTGCCCAGTCAAATGTTTATTTTTATGTAATAGTGAAACAGCAGTGTGACTGTAAGGATATGGTTTTGACATTTCAATTTACTTCCTGGAAGAAACATTGCCGGCTCTTGTACATGTTATGTTACTTTGTTTTTGTGTTAATGTCACTAATTTATTGCTGTTTGTCATATATTCACAGAACATTGAAAGTTTTTCAAATACAAATATCAAGTGTTGTGACATTTATTGGACTGTAGCAAACAAAATTCTGAATTCTACTTAATATAGTGGGAATTTCTTTTATTAATGTGTAATATAAGTGATTGAATGGTGGATTAACATTATCAGTAAGGTTTTTTTATTGTGTTAGGCAATCTTCTGGTATGTATGCTTGTGGTGACACGTAAGTGCTGATTGTCTTCACTGATTACTTTTCAGTTTTATTACTCTTTATTCTGTTTCACACTAGTTTATATTTTAAAGGTACTACAATAAAATTGTTTTGTTGTGCAAGTGCTATATATTGCTCTTCATTATTTCTGCAAGCCCAGTGATGAATTTGCAGATATGTTTAAATGTTAGCAAAGCAGGCCAGACAGACTATACATGTGCATAAACATTGGCCAACTTTACTCTGGCTAAGTTGCTGTAAGAATAATATTAAAGTTGATATTACAATAACAGGATGTGGGAAAGATTTTTCTGGCACAGGATAACGTCCAATGGCATGCTGTTAATGAATATGGTAGAGTTCCATAAAAAGGGCGGAATAACTAAATTAGGTGAGCGACTGTTAGCTTGTAGCCAAGGGGTCTACCATCGTTCGTTGTTCTCATGTTTTGTTGTAGTTCAACCTATCTCCGTAAGTGTCGTTTCCGTATGTGACGTTTATTGATAATAGTAGCATGACCTGCTACCAGATGGCACTGCAAATCATTTTACGAGAATGACGGGTAATTCAGCGTTGTGCTTTTTTTTTGTGGAAGAGCAGACGTGCGGGTAGGCGAATGTACGATACGCGTGGCTTTGTGTACCTGCACTGCAGTAGAGTGTTGTTTTGTTGTTAAGGATGGAGGAATCAGTTGTTGTCGCCGCTCAAGAGTATCCTGTTGAGTTTTACCATTTGATGCATGATGGTGATGGTGACGGCGACAGTTCAAGCAGCAGGGTGCATGGAGAGCGCGAAGGTACGAACCCACGGCCTTTTTACATTTATGTGACTGATTGTTTAATATTCATGCTATATGTTTTAACTTGTGATTTTTACGCATTTTTTCCAATTCATAATATTTTGTGGGAACTGTCAAATGACACGTCATAAACACGTTTCTAACTAGTGTGGGATTAAAATGGACGTAACCAATTTTGCAAATTTGAGTTTTTGATTAGATAATTGTGAAGTAATCCATGAACATCAATGAAGATGGAGAGTGTGTTATTGGGTTTTCGTAAGATGTTAAACACTCCCAGCTTGCTTCGAGTGCATAATAATAAAAAAAATTGGGTGGGGTTCCATTAGTTTTGTGTTCTTATGTAAATACTCGTAATAAAAAATCACGCGCCGGAAATATGTGATATTGGTAAACAATGCACACGTATTGTTTTGTAGCTGATATATTCAAACATAACCCTTGTGTTCGATGTAGTACGAGACCAAGGCTGGGAAGGATTCGCGGCCAATACCGATCGAACTGGGTTGTGATGTTTGTGGGGGGGGGGGATTGATTTTCACGAATAATATATTTAGCATTGTGAAACTTCCTCAAATTATTGTTCACAATTATCCTCTCAAGTGTGCCATGACAGGGAAGTGTTTTCAGTTTTCAGTATACATCGGAGTTTAAACGTAAATAATGTAGGTCAGTATTTGTAATGTTACAAAAAAATATGTGAAGTCTAGTGAGAGATAACGCATAAATAGAGCATTATTATGAAACATATGCTCAAGAGGTTCGATCAATATTTTCATTTCATCTCTTGGCAGGCGGTCAGCGTCTTGTGCTGAATCAGGTTAGATCAAGTGAAACCTCCTTTTTAAGGCCACTGAAAGACGAAAACTTTTTATAGTGAAATGCTCCACTAATTTAGCATTTATCTTGTAAGTAGATTGGTACACACTGAATTCATTTACTGGGAAAAATTTCGCCATTGTTAGGGGTGGTGTGGCATAACACTAATTAACGTTTCTGATAAATTTCTATAACTTGAAGATTTCCGTCTTCTGGGTTCTTGCGCTGTGTAGTCTGGTCGATGTTAACCAACGTTTCAGAGGTCATACTGCCTCCGTCATCAGGGCGATGAATAACTTATGTTTGAACTACGTAGATATGAATATTTTGTACGTTTAACATTTAAATTTGTAAGTGAAGTGACAATACTTACTGTCTAGTAAGCTGCATTATTGTCTTTTATAGTCTGCAGTTCCATTAGTAATCGGATGTAATTCAGTGATGTTTACGAAACAGTCAAAATCAAAAATATGCCTATGTCATTTAGAAAATTAAATAGTGCGTAATATAAAATAAGAAAGGTTGCGACGGAAATATTAATAAACTTCCTTAAGTGTTTCCTCGAATTCGTCACGTACTTCAAGGTCTGTTCGTTCTACATTATAAAGCAGACGTGAACATAAGTTATGACAGCGTAAGGCATTTCAAGAACTCGCAATTTATTGTTTAAAAAAATACATCATCGTGCTCAGAAATCACACACAACAGGCATATGAAATATTTATTTTATTACGTTATATGAATTTTGTCTGAATCGTTTTTGGTTCGGTTAATATTTAACGGCGTAATTATAAAGAAATTAAATTGGCAACACTGCGAGACATGTTTGGAACGCATTGTTTGAGGCATCTGTTTTAATAAGAGATTAACATGATAGTTGTATTCAGTACTGACCAGTATTGCTGTTGTCGTGACACTGTTAATGGACGGATTTCCCTCAAAAAAGAACAAAATATACCTTCACCACTACGTAGATTAGTTGCGTAATCTTGCCGAAGTACAAGAAAGTTTATTCTGAGAATCACAAGAAATCTACACTCTGTGGACAAACTGCATAGTTACCGAACGTTAAAGCAGGTGGTACATATACTTACCATGGCACTGTTAAGGGTTAAAATATATTTCAGCACGGGAAGACGAAGTTAGCCCCCCCTGGCCTTCCCCGTATGTAACAATCACTTTGGAAAAATTATTAAAAAAACTATTTTTGGAACATCGAAATTGTTTGAGAATTTAATGAAGCCAAAGTTATTCATAATTATCCTACCACATACTATTCGATTGTATGTAGCACCATCAGTTGATAAAGAGTGGAAAAAATACCCAATGCCTTGGAAGTATCACTTAATTTTAATAGCCAAAGAGTCTGCTGTTAATAATTCTATTAAAATGTAGTAAAATGTATTTTGATGAAATATGCCTGAGGTTCACGTCCAGTGAGGTACTTGTCAGACCTGTGTTGTGTTGCCACTCTGTAGCTCTAAATTGCCCTTACGCGCTGAAAATAAATTCCTGTGTCTCGTTTCTTTTCTCTCGCGTCAGTGGCAGTTAAACTTTAATTTCGAGATTTATTTTCTTCACTTTTCCCCGTCCATATTATCCTGACACTTAAACACGTGAAACATGTTTTGGAAGTAAAATTTTTCTGCATGTAAAGTTGGCAGTGCGTGGTTAAGATCGAACGCCATTTCTAACAAATGAACAACATGTTGCGTAACAAGATAAGTTATCAGAAGATGCTCCGTGTATCTGAGATGTGACTGTAGGACAGCTTACTGAAGAAAACAACGGAATCATCAGGGGGGGAAACAACACAGAGCTTCCTTCTGTTTATTAACCATGTCCTTGAATGCAGACAAGATTTTCAAATCGTCCGATCGGAGTCGACGGCAACAAATAAAGAGGCAAGGTAATTACAGGTGATGTCTCTACTTAACACCAGGGGATTTTGTCTACGTAGCTTGTTTGTACGCGTTGTCTAGCGAACGTCGCTGTCGAGTTGTTAGCATTCCGTATTTGGTATGTGGTCGAGTCAAAATTTCGGTCTGGAAACTGACTTTCCTCACTGAGATATTTCGTGATGTTCCTCAGTTCCTCCAGGTAAATTACACAAAATCAGGTCACGACTTCCTTTCGGGTTCCCCCCCCCCCAACTTATTATCTTTTGCAAATGGCTGTCTGTCTTCTGTGATGTTGCGTCCTATAGTTTGGTAGAAATTGGTCTACGTTTGAAGGGTAATTTCTGCCTCTGTCATCGCCCTGATGATGGCAGCTGTGAAATAACAACATGGCGGCTGCAGAAGAGAGAAAAAATGTCTGATTTGACAAGGACTCGATCCATTGACACAAAATATTTGTACATTATGCTACCGCTGAGGTAAGGCCCCTTGTGACGTAGTCCTATTGTTTTACAGTTTGTACTTAAGATTTTAAGACCACATGATTTGTACAATTGTAAAAATATTTTATTGATAATTGTTCCATTGTGCTAGGCTTATGCGGAATTTATAATTTAAAAGAACGCGTTTTTTCTGGCATGGTTACACGTTTGCAGTATAATTTGTTTGTTTTTGTAACAATCGGCTTCTCGTTGATAACTTAGGGGAAAAAAGTGGTCTTAAATTTGTCATATTTACGAAATGCTGTTGCTCGTTTATTGCGTTTCTCGAGGCTTACAACTAGATTTGACATTTTAAATTTCGTTTACAGGTGAATAATCTCGCGTCTTTGCATGGCTGCAAGGCTACTCACATCCTGTGAAATAATTTTCGTCTTATATTATATTTAGAATCTCCCGCAGGCTGCCAACATGAACCACATGGCAGATAAAATCATAAGCACACACGGGATGTCGCAAAAGCATGACGCTTCTTAAAAGCAGTTATATAAATAAACGACCAAACGAATTTACGAGTTTTGTAGAACATGACTGAGTTTGTGTACAAGATTTATTCAGTTTGGAGTTTCTTTCAAATCCGCTGAGCCGTTCATTTTTACAATGTTTCAAATTTTTTTTCGCGCCACCCGGTATAGAGAATTATCGTCTTATTAGAAAATTAAATAATCAGCACTAGTAATAATCTCGCATATTCTTATAATGTTCCTGTCCTAAGTGAACTACAAATGCAACGCTCGATCTGTACTTAAAATGAACCCCATTGTTGGTCGTGTGACTCGAGACGTTTTATTTTGTAGTAGTCTGCCATTTTCCTACGCGCCGTGATCTTGGAGTCAAACACTGTACTCGATGTCTATCCTGCAAATAACTCTCTCCTCTCGCGAGTTAAATTTAAACCATTAGCGATTATTTCTGCTTGTATTTTGCACTGACGTTTTCATTAGACCAATTCGAATTCTTTGTCGCAGCGAAGGTTGCATTAGTTAGCGACGTCATGCCAAACAACGTGAACGTTGCTGGTGCACTGTTTGTTGGTGATATGGTGACAGGTAACACGCCATTGTGTTTCCGCTAAAAATAGCTGATTTGAAGCCGGCCCAGCTGTTTTTGTCTTGTGAATAGCGAGACTGAACTTTCAGTGTTTGGTCTGCGGGCCTGCAAGCCAGGTGTTCTCGTGTCTAGTGAAATGTGTTCTCGAGGTGTTCTGAACACTGTCGATTCAGACGACTTGCTACCAAGGATCAGAACTCCAGATCCATTCGTCGATTATGAAGGTATGTGAAGTTCAGATAATCGATTCCGAAGTTGTGACGACGTAATGAGAGATGTGTGATTGTAAAGTTGTAACAATGCGTCTAGACAGTATTGTGGTAAGTATGCTGACCTCCTACTGTGACTTCAAAGAAGTAATTTTTTTAGCTGTGTCAAGGATTTTGCTATGGTTGCGCGGTTGCTGATAAGGACCGCTTGTAATGCCAGGTGTGTGGCGGTCAGAGACGCCTGCAGGTGTGAAGGCAGGGGGCGGCAATCCAATCACCCGACTCACCTGACGACAGGTTTGCCAACTGTCCCGTTTAAAGTATTTACTGATGATGAATTTCAGCCGCTGACACCAGAACGGAATTTCCAATTCGTTGAACAGAAGATTTTTAAAGGAGAACTATAATAGTTGTGTTTGAGATACGTATTTCGAATGACATGTCTGTGTAGAATTACTTTTCGATATCAAGCGGTTGTTCTCCCCATGCCCCTCCTGTAGGCCTAGACGGACTCATAGTTGAGGGTTTGCCAACTTGGCATCGCGGAATTTGTTTGGCGACACATTTTTCTGACACGTGACTTCGCAAGTGTTTACATGTTTTCTGGAATCTCTCAGTATTAAGGCTTCACAGTCTTCACTTTGACCTTGTAGTGTTGATGACGTGGACCAGTTAAACTAAATTATTCATTCCTCAACAGTTAAAATTGAGGAACGAATTAAGAAAAACTTCTGTATCGTATTATGCGTGCATTTCACACATTTCCGGTAAACTTTAATTTAACCCTTTAAACCAGAAGCACGTCTAAATATTTTTTTTTTAGAATTTAGTCCGTACCGCGAAGAAAACATCGCACTTCACCATTACAAAGATCAACTGGTTAACGCTGATTAAGGAAATAATCCCTGTTTACAGTGAGAATCATACGAAATCCATACGCACAAAATGCAGAATTATTTATCGTTGAAGCAGGTGGTACAGATAATTACCATTGTGCAGAATTTATTTTTATGTGAAATTTATGGTTGTTTCGTATCACCATCCCGAAATTTATTTGAAGACAGTGGGAATACTACGAGAAGCCCCTACCAAGATTCAAACCAAATGACTTCCAATTGTAGCTGAGTCATCTCTCCAGAGTACAAATTATTAAAATTGGATTCAGTTCCACATTTCCATGAAATCTACAGCGTTCTCAAAACAGACGGACAGAGGAATGTGTTTTTCACATCGACATGTGCGTTCCGTAGCAAATACTTGTGAGCTCAGGGTCGTCTGCTTGAAGAAACATTCTTCGTTCTTCGGCTGACTTTTTATGATCGCGGTGGGGCAAAGTGGGTGGTTGATGTGATGCAGAATATGACTATCTTTCACCGTGATATACGCAATGACCCAAAACTATGAAAACACCTTGTAGTCGATCTCTGTGTGTTTTGTTTGCGGAAGAAATTGACGGCGGCCATTTTGAAGACGTACACTTGATTCTCTAATTCACTAAGTGCCATTGATGACGTATGTGATAATTTAATTGATTAAAATGACACAATTTCTTTCGTTGAATGTGTGTATACATCCTTTTTTGGGACACTCTGTACACTTCAATGAACAAGAGAACGGATACCCCGGTCTTAACTAGATTTAATATCGAAAAGTTTTACGAAAAATTGTCGAATAATTTCAGTTTTCTTGTAGATCGAACAATTTTAAGCACGTCTACACATATAAGAGCATAATATTATTTTGAGCTTACCACAAATAACTATAAAAAATAAGCATTATTTAATTTTTTTAGCTTACTTGGATGATCATTATAAAGTTTATTCCACAAACATTCATGACAGTATTACACATTTAAAGCAGAGTGGTAACTATATGTACCACGTGCTTTAACAATCAGTAACCCTGCATTTTTTATGTATGGGTTTTGAATGATTCTCACTGTAAACAGCGATTATTTCCTTAAACAGCGTTAACCAGTTGATCTTTGTAATGGTGAAGTGTAGTGTTTTCTTCGCGGTACGGACCGAATTCTTACGTAATATTTATACGAGCTTCGGCTTCAAAGGGTTAACCAGTTGATCTTTGTAATGGTGAAGTGTGGTGTTTTCTTCGCGGTACGGACTGACTTCTTAAATATTATTTAGATGGTTGAGGGGTTTATATCCGTTTTCCGCGCTGCAGTCGTCGATATCCGATGTCGTATTTGCCCTTGTGACCTGTGCGGCCTTGTTCTTCCTGCAGGGAGTGAGAGCCCTACGTTCGGAGGAACCAGTGCCACGTTCCCCTTCTCCAAAATGACTCTGGATGACTTGGGAACGGGCAGCATCTCGCCTCGCATCCTGTCCAACGAGATATCAGCGCCCTATGAGGTGCCTCAGTTTCCGATAGAGCAGCTGGAGAAGAAACTGGCAATCCAGAGACAACTGTCCAGCAGGTAACAGTTTCTCGTCAGCTGCGCAGAAGAACGCGTAGAGCTTCGTGTTTAGATTAGGTTAGGTTAGGTTAGTGTGATCTGGGGCCAGCTCTTCTGAGCACGATAAAGAACTTTTGGTTCCATAAGAGTCGCGTAATTTGACCAACTGAGCGAATGTTAGCTCTTGAAGGAGTAGTGTGCTCCATGTACAGTGCGCGACTGTAATCTTGAGACTTGCAAGGAATGCAGGAAGTCCGAAGCGTTAAAGGCAGACGCTATCTATCCTCCTTCACCCCGCTAGTCTCAAGATTACAGTCGCGAACTATAGTGAACATTTTGTTTTTTTTTGTACTTCAGAGGCTGTACCTAAAAGCAAGGATCATATGTTTATGAGACAAGTACTTTCACTTATGGTAATAAACCTGTCACTTGTAATTCAGTGAATATTGAACAGTTGGAAAAATTATTTCAGACAGGAAGTTGTAAGCACAGATGCGGTTGGTTCTTTATGTGACCTATCTCACCGTAAACAGCGTCAACCAGCTGATCTTTCGAACGGTGAAGCGTTGTGTTTTCTTCGCGGTACGGCCTAGATTGTTAAATATTATTTATACGAGCTTCAGCTTGATTTTAAGTGTTTAGTGGATCAATAAGACGCTTATTAGTAGAAGAATATTGAAAAACGTATCTTAATAAGTCTGAATATTGTAGGCCTAGTCTTAACTAAGTATCAGCGAATTATTTTTTTTTTCCGTCTTTTCGTGGATGAATCATTTTTGTCTGCGTGAAGTCTTCCAGCGCCATTTGTAGCGAAATGACGCCCGATGTTCGCCCCTCGTCAGTGGAGGGTCTGCCTTGACCCAGTGTCGAGGTGACGCCTTCAGCACGCACGAAACCTTATGGTTTCTGTCCAAGGGCACAGCCCCGCTCAGACACCTTGACAGGCGTTCAGCGACGCTTCGGTTACCACCGTCAGATCAATACTGTTACAGAAATGGGATGATTCTCCACAGGTTTCCTGCTTTCCAGTACAATGTTGGAAATTGTCCGTACGCCCTTCTACAAGTTACGGGTTTTTAATAAAACTAAGACAGTTGTTACAGTCCGTGTTTGTTTTCGGTTGTGATTGATTCCGTGTGGATACCGACGTTTCGGAGAAACATTGTTTGTGTCTTCACTGCTGAATGCAGGTCTGTGACAGGGATCACGCACGAGATGCGTGGTCCGTGACCTCTTTGAGCGTAGCGCCGCCCCACTTACGATCAGACAGACAAATCTCTTGGCTGGACCAGTGTCCAGTCTCTGTATTGAGACCCGTCTGAAGCACTGCATTCATGAGAGGGTAACAGCAGACTAAATTCTGGGAAGGCTTTTGCTGCTGCAAGGTTAAGAATCTTTAGTCTTCCTGTCTGCAGACGTACAGATGTACAGGACCATAATTTCATCTCTTTTCTTTAGCGAGCCTAAAACTTCGCATTTTCATGGTGACATTTCAGGTTCTTACGACGCTGCTGTCTTCTGGTTTGTTGCGCCGTGTAAACTGATAGAAGTTTACCGACGTTTCAGAGGTATTTTCTGCCTTATATGCTTGATGATGGAAGCAATAAATACGTCTTAAACGTCGATAAACTTCTACCAGACCACACGCCGCAACAACCCAGAAGACATCCAAATCAAAAATTGCCCTTCATCCGTCGATGTTTTTGAGTTGAGTAAACAATCAGACCCTGTCCCTAGTAATCCTACTACTAGTTGTGAAAACATGAGTTCTCTTCACAGTCATTTATTGCGTGTACAGACTTTATTAAACAGAAGACAATAAATGTGCGACATTCGTGTACAGTTAAGTTCATAAGAACAATTTTGGATGTATCTTTGTATGTATTTGATAACGTTTTATCATAACAGCGTGACTCGTGACTTTTTTTCCCCCCTGATAGCGAAAGCATCAGCGACAGTCGGTAAGAACGCCCTGTTCGTTCCACCGCACATTTAATTCGTTCGCGTCGAACACCTTCTGTTAATTTGATACTTTTGTTACAGTGAGAAATTGTTAGTCTCCCTAAGACCCCTTTTCGGCTGTCTTCGCCCTCACAGCTATGACGAACATTGCCGTCGTTAAAAAGGGCCACTCCACTATACTTGGCATTTTACTGTTGTCCGTGTTTCATCTCATTCGACGCTGAAGAACACCTGTAAACGTTACAGCCTTTTGTTATTAACCAGCTGTTCTTATACTGTATACATCTAAACATACAGCGAAATCCGCCGTAGACTGGCGCAGTAGTGTACCTTCAATGAGTTATCCCCTCCCCTGCCTCGCCTTCCCCGTCATCGCCGTCATCGCAGGGCCGGTGGTCTAGAGCGGCGTTGTGCAGTGATGCAGTAGCAGCGTTCGGTCATGGGGACGGCAGTACGATGTTCCAGTTTGCCCACGACGCCAAGCGATGGCAACGAGATTGCCTCAGGTGAGGGAAGTGGTCGTGGACTGTTGTTTTCTTTCTGTACTTGGAACCCTGGGCAGTGGCGTAACTTCAGAACCACCCGCAAACAGTGGCGTAAGTGGAGAAACTGTGATGAAGTTACAAGAATCAGGGTCCCCCCCCCCACCACCACACCAAGATTACTGGTTAAACTTCTGTGTGGTGTTTCGAAATGTTGGCATGAGTTCAAAAGTAGGGTCCGCAGGCTGACAGTACTCGCAGCAGTTGAATAATTATCCAATAAAATGCAACATCCTCACTCTGCCTCGTGGGGGCTGCTGAAGAAGAGGCTTTGTGCGTAGTGCCACGTGTGAGCTTTTTTAACCTGCATGGGATTTTATTTCGTGCTTCGACATACAGTAGCGTAAATTTAAAATCAGCACCCCCCCTCCTCCCCAAAAAGTAGACATCTGTTCTTTGAGCGACAGATTTAGAAAACGATTAGTTCAGTTTCAAGACCTCTGGGGTAGTTTTTAAAAACAATGGTGCTAAAGGAGAGCTTGAACAGAGATGTGATTTACGACGATAACAGAAGGTAATATTAAGGAATACGATATACGGATGTGGGCTGGATTCAACTGGCGAGCCTTTACGATGTTGACAGTAACCATTAGGATGCCTTAATAAGGAGATTACATGTGGATCTGAATAATGACTCTAGGGGTCTGAATTCAGAAAGGTTAAAAAAAAACATTAGCTGAAGGCAACTGTGAATGTGTGTGTGTGTGGGGGGGGGGAGGTGTCATTTTGGCTATATGTCTCCATGACGGCCTCCTGCACCCTATAATCCATACCCAGGAATTTGCTTTACAACCAAAGGAAACCACATTAAACCTCAGTCAAGGTGGCCGAGTATACGCTAATCGTTGCGTCGTTTTGGTGGTGGCCTTATTAGGGGCAGATTCGACTGGCCTGCTGAGCGTCAGTCATCGTCGGTGGGTGACTTCAGACAACCCTTGGTAGTCGCAAGAAAACTGACTCATCAAAACGCACGTAAATGTTATTTAAGAATTCAGCCCGTACCGCGAAGAAAACACAACGCTTCACCATTACAAGGTGTAACTGGTCAACGCTGCTTATTCTGAGAATCTACGCAACTCACAAATGCATTCCGTGGGGAGAATTTCATGGTTGTTGAATGTTAAAGCGTGTGCTGCCCTACATATATGGTTTAGTGCGACGTTCAGCTCCTGATGTTTACTACAGTCGTTGACTGAGCGTATGGAACCTTCGCTTCGACCTTTAGCGTTGACAGTCCCAAGAGAAGTCTCCCTATAGGCTACGTCATGTTGCTGAGGACAGAGTTTGCTTCCGAAACAAATGGTCACTAATTCTTATCCAGCCATATGTTGCTGAAAGAACATTAAATGTTTATGTGCTGTCTGTAAACATGAAATATGTGCTAAATATGCTTCGTGCAGAAGTCAAGGACAAACACGAGTATGTCGATGTTGGATCTTCAGCCTTGAAGATGGAGGGAGTATTTCTTCAATATTTATACCTAAACGTCCACGCTAAATGGTCTTGAGATATTGAAAAATCGTCTTCAAATAAATGCAAGTCCATTCCGTGTCATTGGGGCCCTGTTCTGAGCCAATTGATCCAATCAACCTCTTTTTGTCTTGAGATCCATCTTAATTCTCGTATTATCCTCCCATTCATGCCGAGGTCTCTGTAAAGTATTATTTTCTGTTGAGTTTTTTTGATTGACGTTTGGAAGAATTTTTCGTCAGCTCTGTACGTGCTACACATTCTGCCCATCTGTAAATTACGTTACTGAATTATTGTATCGAAAACCAAATTTATGATTCCTCATAGCTTCTTCAGTCTTCCTGTAAAACATCTGTAATGCGCGCTGACGTAACAGTGTCCTGTGAAATAAAGAAAATTAGTTTACAGCATCTGGGAAGGAGATGAATTATTCCGTAGGGTCTATGAACCATCTGACAAGTGTAAGAAAGATGAAAATATTCCTGGAGCCGGAACATTGTTACATCCACGACGACTCCGGAGTCGCTGAGCCTTTGTCCGTAATCTATGATTACGTCTGCAAGGTTCTTAAAAACGAGAAACTTCATTTTCTAAGTGCTCTTAGATACCATATTTTTAAAATTCATACCTTCAGAAATACCAACATGGCGGCCGCGCGAGATCTTAATATTAGCGTTACTCAGCAACGTTCATGGATTGCCCTTTAAGTTGTACGAGGTATGAGGTTTATTTTTCTAAAACTGACGGTAAGAACCTGGTTACCGTTTTCGATTCTTTGGTGTAGGGACACGAGTGATTTAGCTCAGTAATAGAAAGTGTCTCGATTTGAAAGTATTTAGAATTACGGCCGGGAACCGGCTTCAGATTTATCGCGCCTGTCTTTAGTTAATCCAGGCGAATTACGTTAAAACTATAAATAAAATAGGCTACGACCTTTTCTCATTTTTGTCGACTAGCCATCTATAATCGTCGTACTGTACATGGCTCCGCTGTAGGTATCCTCTGCAGTTGCTGAAGCATGGTTAAATAACCAACCCCTAAAAACCCGTATTTTCTTGTTTGTTTGTGCTACAGGGGAGGGGAGCCAACCCTGGAGGCCATGAGAGGTGAAATGCCAACTGCTGTTTACGTTTGCAGGCTTTGCTTGTTTATGTGAAAGCCCGCCCCGGAAAAAAAATCCCTTAACGCATGGATGACCGGAGTCCCGTTTCCATGGTTACAGCCCAACTTTGTGTAGCAGAATAATACATGGGTCGTGTGCATGACCCAACTTACGTACTGTTAGGGTCGTTTTCGTTCCATCGTGTTCTCTGCCAATGTGAGAGAGTTGAAATTGAGATCTGACGGTGGCGACTCTGGTAGCAAGAAATGCAAACGAGGCTGTGAGGGGGGTCTGATGGAGTCTGCTTGTGGCAGGAGTCAGGAGCAAGGCAGTCAGTTTTGTGTTTTGCAGGAATCTTGCTTGAGTGGCTGTAAAGATGTTTTTCACATTAATTCACTTTTTTTCAGAAATTTGATAAATTTGGTACTTTTCAGTAAGATCTGAGAACATAATGACGCAGTCAGTCATGTAACTGATGAACAGGGAAAAGGTCCATTACTGTCAACTCTGATGGGTCGTACTGTGCCGGTTGGAAAATCAGGAGCATTACATCAGCTGTTTGTGTTCTCTGGTGCAGGGTGGCAAAAGATTTGGAGGACCGACGCAGCCATTACGAGCCATCAATAGGAACAGTCCCGGACGAGGGCGATCACGCTTTCAAACTAGAAGAACATGACTTTGTGCCCCACTTTCAGCGCGTCTCTGTCAGCGGTGAGGACACGAGCGGGGTGAGTAGAAGTTTTGGAAAGGGTAATGAGTAGGAATTTGGTCTCAGTCCCTGAGTGAGGTTCACTGAGTTTATGTACTCCTGCATGGCACCACAACCCAGAAGACCATGTTCCTACAGATTTTTATAATAAAAGATTCTCTTCTGATATTTGGAATAACTTGCTTGATTCTGTTGGTTTGCAGGTACCCTATGAGGATCTGGAGCAGGCGGCCCGGCTTCTGGTTCAGGCGCTACACGTTCGGGAGCGTTACATGGCCGTGTCACACCAGACATTCCCCAGCACGGCGTCCCGTTTCCTGCGTTCCGTGGATTCGGGCTGCCCTCATCTGCTTGACGTTATTAAGCACGAAGACCGCAAGACCATTGAAGGTAAGCGGTATAAACTGTGTTTATGTTGTGTTCAGTAGCGCAGTGCATTTGAAAGGCTCCCTCAGTCCCCATAGGTAAATGCCAGAGCATGTTGGTAATTTAACCATTAGTAATGTACTATGAGGTACATTTTATTGTTTGTTGACTGTTGAATGCAGGATTTGAATGCTAGACTGATAACATTGTTTGACGCTGACTTATTTAAACATTTCATGTAGCCCGGTTTAAACTTTAAAACTGCGGAGGTCATTCCGGTATTTGGCAGTGAGACTGAATGTGGTCGCATTCTGGGTTGTTGCGCTGTGTAGTCTGGTAGAAGTTTACCAATGTTTCAGAGGTCATATACTGCCTCCGTCATCAGGGCGATGAAAGTCCTGCCAGACTGCGCGGCCAAACAACCCGGGAGACGGCCGTCGTCACTCGAAGGATTGCCTACAAAATTATAGTTGGTAGCTGTTTGGGAACATGAGTAGAGAAATATTGTGAGGTTTCTAAATACGTTGACGTGGCTCAGGATAGTTGCCAGTTGCGTGCTTTTTGCGATGATGGTCCTGAACGTTTTGGTTCCTTCAAAAGACTTTATGCAGATTATTCCGCACGACTTGGATCCACCTCCTAACATGAGATAGCTAAGTACTGCGTTGCGACTGGCTCATTTCCTGGTAGTCAGCCAGTCCATTTGTTATCAAACTAATTAGTTAATTCACTACCATTTGAAGCCGATCCATCGGATTCACAGAAGCAGTTGCTGTAAAGAAACCAGAACATGCATCAAATAAAAATCAATAGCAAGAGATGTGTTGCTTAGAACAGAATGGATGTGCCTGCTTACAGGACTGTATCAGTTTCGGAACCCCCATGCTGAGGTGTGAGAGAGAGAGAGGCGGGGGAAGGGAAGGGAGAGTGTGATTCGTGGGAGGAGACAATGACCCATTTTGATTTTAAAGGAGACGAGTCATTTCAGTACACCCATTAAAGGGTCCTGACAGCTGTTGAAGAAGTAAACTGCATTTACAAGACCTGAGAAAACAGAATAAAGGAATGTGAAAGTGTATTTTTTTTTTTGTTAATTTATATCCGCATAGTAATTTTTCCTAATATTTCACAAGCTATATTCTGCATTGAAGAATGAATTGGAATAAAAGTTTTGAATCTGAGAGAGATTTTTTCATTTTATGATTTTAGAGAAGCGTATTCAACACCGAAGCTTGAGAACTTTATCTAAGTTAACATTTCTTCAAGAAAATAAAAAAAAGAACATTGTTTTTTTTATTTTTAACTAAGGCATCTGTGGAAATATTCTTATATGACCTGACAACATTGGCTTCAATATTGAGGAGCTTTAGAAATGTATCTAGACATTTTGCTTGAAGAATAAACTTCCTAGATTTATTAAAATATGAGAAAATGGGAATGACCACTTTTTAAGAAAAAGTCATGGGTAAAAAAAAAGTAAAACAATGAATTATTGTCTTACGATGCACTTTTTCCTTTGTGACTGCTACTTCATAATAGTCACTTTTCTGGTGGAAATTCTGTGTTTCTTCAAGCCTACGATATGGTGGTCTGTTGCTCCTGTTTTATCCTGTTTTAATAATAAGGTGAGTTACGAGCTGTTTATTCATATGTGCTGCCTCCTGATATAGTTGACAGAAATCACGCAGATGCGAAGTTGAAGCAATGGAAGAGTGAGAAAAAAATATCAGAGCACGAAGAAATGTATTGTTTGAGGTGTTCTCTCAGCGATGCAGAAATGGACCGCATCCTGAGTCAAGATGAGCAGAATCTCGTGAAAGGTAACCATAGTCCAGCACTGGCTTGTGGTGAGGTGCACTGACACTCCGTAACCTCTTGTTACTACTACACTGCTAGCATCTTAGTGGAGCTTGTTTCATTTGTTGGACACTGTAGTGAAACTTCTCTAATTTAGTTATAAAGAATGTGTCAAGGTGTCGTCAGAAACCCCGATATTAACAAAACATACAAATTGAAAATTATATAAATTAGTTACCTGTGTTTGAGAACAGTTCTTCCAGTGTACATTTTCTGCTTCTTGAAATTTCCTCTGGGTTTAAGGCTTAATCAGGGTTCGTATTTTAATTTTAGTTAGTTATGTGAGGAACGTAATTAACTTGTATGTTATTTGGAAGGTCGTAAACAGCTTGGGCAATATAGAAATGAGTAGTATTGAAGTAAGCAAGAGGACAGAGAATGACAGCACTGATAGTTGCCATGTTCTGAGCTATGATTTCCGTGTTCTGACACATGCTCTGAAGCGCCAGAGAATGTTCAGTGTCCAGAAGTTATGATAAGGGATTCTTATGAGAATTTCTTTATTCGCTTATTTGATAGATTGAGTTGAAATTATGTAATGAACATGCAGTTTTATGTATTTTGATTAAAAATGAGACAAGATTAAATTTTACTAGCTAGATTAATAAGACATTTTACTGGCAAGTAGTAAATGCTATTGTTTGTATAATAAATTCAAGCTGCTAGTGTATTTTCTTATGTTTCATTGCAAAATATGCATCTATTATACATAAAAATTACATGACTTTGTGTTCGTCTGTGCAAATATTTCTTCGTTATTAGTACTCATCAGTGAATTTTGTCCTTTTAAATTAAGTCTTTTACAGAGTAATTCAGTAGTCCCTGTGTGCACGTGAGTGTGTGTGCGCGTGTGTGTGTGTGTCTTTCTTGCGACTGTTTGACCTTCACTGCTACTTGCCTTCAACAAGTTGTGTGTTGTAACCATAAGTAAGTTCAGAAGGGGAAACAAAAATGTATTCTTACAGGTGCACAGGGACTTTGAGACATTCTGTATGTACTATTCTCTATTCATAAGATGTTAAGTGAAGAAATAACTTGTAATATAAGAATTGAAAGAATTTTTTAAATTGATAATGACGTGTTAAATTAATTGTTTTGAAAACCTTGTACAATTGTAGCCTGTTAGCAAAACTGTGAAAACACGTGAATTATCTTGGGAGTTGGAGTGGTAGCTGCTGAGTGCACATCACTGGAGCACATGTGTGCGCTGTGTATTAACCAACACCTATGTTACTAAAATGCTGGAAGCACATCTTTGTTAGTGCTAATGATGTACTTATTGTTCTATCACACATAAAGCCAGTTTGTAAATAACTGCCCATTGAATTGTGATTGAACTGAATTAGATTCAGAATTCTGTAGAACAACTGAGTCAGTTTAGAGCTGTGCAAGAAACTCTGAGGTCAGTGTTTTGCCACTGACTAAACTTTTCTCTTAAGTAAGTCTAACCTAAGCCAACCTAACCTAACCCAGTCTTACCTAACTTAACCTAACTCATTGTAACTTAACCTAACTCAATCTAACTTAACCTAACCTAAACTTTTCTCTTAAGTCTAACCTAAGCCAACCTAACCTAACCCAATCTCTTACCTAACTCATTGTCACTTAACCTAACTCAATCTAACTTAACCTAACCTAAACTTTTCTCTTAAGTAATGCTCTTAAATAATTAACCAGTCTGTTTCCTTGTTCTCTCTTTATGGGGTGTTTTTCAGCTTCAACACAACATTTGTATTTTTTTTATTTGAGGAATATAAAACTGACTTGGATTGTCTCTGGCATTGGTTTGATTTCCAAAATTATATACTGCTTAGAGTAAAACTGTGTTTTGTAGAATTTGCATTTACACAAATCAGTAATTTGTTGTAGATTTGCAGAAATAGCAACTTGCAACACTATTGTCTGTTACATCACTGCTGGTGGCTTTATTGCTTTGCTTAGGTTGCAGGCCAAATTAATTACAACACTTCACTATGAATTCTTGCGGCATTTTTGTAATTGGTTAGGATTTTCAAACTAAGTGAAAATGAATTCTTTGGAAATGACAAAAAAAAAAATAGTAATAGCCCTTATACTTTTTCTAGGCATTTGCAAAAGTATAATTTGTAGTTCTATAATGGTATAAAATAATTTTGTGTTCACTCGCATGGCTTCGAAGGTTGCGATGTCAAGTAGTCTTGTAGGTAGATGGAAATTTATTTCCAGAATACAGTAACATCTGTAATGTTGGTAACGAGATGCAAGATTTCGTGGCATAACCCAGAAGACCGTAATCATTGTTTGCAAAACCCCATTTCTGCTCAAGGAATTGGTTAAATTAACATTAGTTTTTGGACTGTGAGCTGTACACAGGCTCACTGAACCTGACTTTGCACAGCTCTGATGATTATATTTTGTAATGGTTACTAAAACACTAATGTATTTGTGTTTGTCAGGTTCCATAAGGACTGATAATTTTGTTTTATTGGCATTGTCGTACGTGGCAACTCGACTGATTCATTTCAGTCTCCAACTCTGTATATTTTAATGTCTTTATTACTACCTCTCTCCTAGTCTTAATATTAATCTTAAAAGTCCCATGATGCTCTGCAGGAGTTTAGAACGGCTCTTTGTTATTCTTTTGCGTGAGCTAAAGGTCCCATGTTCTTATGGGAGGTTGCTAAATTACCATTTCCAGGCCAGTTTAATCATTAGTTATATGTTGTATGCGTAATAGAACTGATTCTCTTCCTGCCTCCATGTTTTTTTTATTAATGGAGAAGACTGCATTTTTTTAAAATTGGATTTTAAGTATCTTAAAAGTTGGTATCTACCTACAGATCCACACATGTTACAACCCAGAAGACCAACATTGACACAGAATTACTTCTGTCATGTTATTCTGACAGAAATAATACATTTATTCAGTCTTATTATGAATAAAATAACTTGAGATTTGATCACCAGTAATTATTTCATCTTCATGATATTCTTTACACTTTGTAGGATTTGAGGTTTTGGCGGTGAGTCTGAAGATGGCTGTCTTCTGGGTTGTTGTACCATTAGTAGAAGTTTACTGACATTTCAGAGGTTTCTGCTGCCTCCATCACCCTGACGAAACAAACAGTACTTTCTTGTACAGAAACAAATGAGCAACACAAAACAACATGGCTATTTCACACCCATATTAATAAGAGTTGTTATCAAAGTCTTAAATCATCATTAAGATTCAAAGGAAAGGTGGAGACCATAAAATTGTTGATGTCAGTGAGACTTTGTGTCCCTGTAACATTTATCATTGAATTTGTGTTACTATCTTGGACTTTAGCGATATACTGCTTTCTGTGGCTGATAGTTTGTGTGTGTGCGTACGCCCCTGGCTATACTTCAGGTGGTTGGCGAATGTTTTGTTATATTAAGTTCTCAGCTTTGCTGTAATGTTGTCAGCTTGCTGCGTTAGAGTTGTGATGCATTGCTTGAGAGTTGTATAAATGGCTTTGTTTCTGTGAAGGCAGTGGTCTACTTATGGAAGTCATTTATAATGCATGGAGAGTGAACACATTTCTCAGTTGGAATGAGCGCAGATTACAGTACAGATCCGCTGAACCTAACGTGACCAAATCAGGAAGGAACATTTGAGTGAGAAATTAGAACTGCCCGGTAGTATAACATAGTAAAGAAACCTTCAGTTCACAACTCATATGCACAATCAATTTATTTGTTAAATTTAATAATCCGTAAACAGTTTCATCAGAAAAGAAACTGGTGAAATGCGCAGCGTTTATTCGTAAAAGTTTTTTTTTCATAAATACAAGTCAATGTTGTGGGAAGAAAAAGACTTTTCCTGCCCTTCTGATGTTCAGGTTTGGAGTTAAATTCTCATTAGTTAATTCTTCCCACCTTATTTATGTTACAATATATATTTGAATTTTGTAAATTGTGTCTTATTGTAAAGAATGTTCAAAATATTCATGTACATTGCCGAAATTTGACCATTTGTGGCCACTTCAAAATTTATTTTGTGGTTAACCCATACATTACCAAGATTGGTTAGAATAATACTCAGATATCTGCACACAATTAAGACCTGTATGTCCGTCATATTTACAGTTTTTGATTTCACTCGTAACTGTCCACAAGTGATACTGATAAATATCTGTATTTAATACGTGAGCATAAATGGTGGTTTCTGTAATCTTAGCTTAACAAATACAAATTAAACAACATTTTACGATATATATATATATATATTTTTTAAGAGACTGGCACACAAACTATTTATAGAATGAATAGAATTCTCACATATCTGAGATTACGCTTTTCCCAGACGTTGGCTGTGGAGGTTGAAATATTATCACTTGCATCTTTGTCTACAGATCACCCAGTGCACGCACCTGCCAGTAAAGGGAATCCTTGGGACTGTGAGTTTATGCCGGACAGAGGCTACCTGATGCGATCAAAAAGCGGTGTATACAATGTTTACAAGGATCAAACAGCAATGGATAACGATGAACCTTGCAGCTTTCCTTATCCTAATCTCGACACCTTCGTTCGTGACATGAACAGATTGTGCGTCATGATCGCCGATGGACCGCTGTGAGTACACGCTGATGACAATTATTCTGCAAAGTTCTGCTCTAAAGTTATAGAGACAGTGTCTGTTTATTTGTGCGATCTGATATTTTGTAGCGTGTGCTGTAAGGGACTAATATTATCTTGTTCTGAACTTTTAAAAAAACTTAATAAAGTTTTAATCAAAATTAATTTCTTTTGAAACACAGTATGTGTTAGAAGTGTATTTAGGCCTTTCACCCAGTTTTGATTGAAAGTATACGTGGTCAGTAAATTTTATTAAGAAACTCACGATATTAAATTAAATCAAAGGTTCTTTATTTAGAGCAACGCTGTTAGATACATGAAGATGATGAGCAGTTGTATTTATATCAACAGAATGTGCAGTTAACGTATTCAAAGGTACGAGCAAGATCAGAATCGGGTTCGGTGTACTTGGAGAAGTATGTATAAATGTGAAACTTGCATCTCTTCTTAGTGTGTTTATGAAGTGTCAAATATTCCTTTTAAATGTATTTGCAGGAAGTCGTTCTGCTATCGGCGGCTGAGCTGCTTGTCGTCTAAGTTCCAGTTGCATGTTCTGCTAAATGAACTGCGTGAACTTGCGTCGCAGAAGGCTGTTCCACACCGTGATTTCTACAATATCAGGAAGGTACATCATATGTTATCGCTGACTTCGCATTCAAGCATGGGGGGGACAGACAGACACTCAAGATATTAATCCAGTTTATAATTATAGGTTATTACCGTAGTTAACGCAGATGTCATCAACAATTACTCTTAAAGGCTGAAGTATTTATAAACAGTGTGGTATATTCCAAGCACTGCTTCACTTTAGGATGTTATTAAGTATCCTTTCTTCAAGATTCAGTAGTTTCAGACTCTTGAAGAAGATCTTTTGCTCCACACAAGTTTCTGACAAGATTCTTGGTGCTGTTATCACGCGTTCCTTACTCCATCGCTTTTGGATTTCATCTGTTATATACTGATCCAATATTACTGGTACTGAGGACAGCTGTATCAGTTATTTACATGATTTTTTGGGGGGGGGGGGGCAGAAGAAATGTAATATCAGGTCTGTTATGCTGTGTTATTGTTTTTTATATTTATATTTTCTTAGTGTTTTGTTGTTGCTGTTATTATTATTAACTGGGAAAAGTGCTTTAAATTTGTTCAAGGGTTTGTGTTGCATGAGCTACGTACCTCGGACATCGATCGTGATGGGTGTGTAAGTAGAATTGTCTGTGTGTGTGGCAGGTGGACACTCATATTCATGCAGCATCCTGCATGAACCAGAAACACCTTCTGCGCTTCATCAAGAAGACACTGAAGAACCATGCAGATGAGGTGGTGGTAAACAGCAAGGGACACAGCATGACCCTACGGGAGGTGTTCCAGTCGATGAATCTTACGTCATACGACCTTACAGTTGACATGTTGGATGTACACGCTGTGAGTAGACTGGCTTATTCACATGCGGCTGTAGACGAAGGGCTAGAATATAAATATTTTCAAATTTTATCAAATCAAATTAAAAATGATCATATTGTATGTATGAAACAAATATAATTTGAACTTTTGAACATGCTTATTAAAAGAACTGGTGTTTTGTGTTGATAAGAATACCGAAATTTTTATAAAATTTAAATATGATTTTTGAAAACATTATTCACAAAATTTTGATCTGTCGATGAAATTGCTTCCTTTTGGATGTAAATCAGATTATTGTAGTTATGTATTCAAGTGTAGTATTCTGCGTTTTTCAGGATCGTAACACATTCCACCGATTTGATAAGTTCAATGCCAAATACAATCCTATTGGTGAGAGTAGACTACGAGAAGTATTCCTCAAGACGGACAACTATCTGAATGGAACGTACTTTGCTAGAATAATCAAGGTGTGTTATAATCACATTGTCATGGTTTATTCATTATGTTAATGCATGATGATTTAATTTTTGCTTTATTTTAAAAGTTTTAGGATATGGGGATGGGAATTATGAGGTTTCTAAACACTAACTAACTAACTAGAGCAGTAGAAGTAAAGAGACAATCCAGGCAATGTTTTATAATTCTGTATGTTCAAGTCTGCCCCTTTTAGGAAATTTCAGATGCATTATATAAAGAATGAAGCTAATCTCTAAATAACTTCTGAACCAAATTACTCGATTTTCACAAAAATTGATGTCATGTCATCTCACCTCCATTCCATACTACCATCAGTAATGCCAACTTGGCAGTCATCTGGACTTCTAAAATAGTAGCACAAGTCACTAGTACGGGGCAATGAAATTTTGTGAGGTTATACGTAATTTCTGTAAAGAACATAAAATATGTAGTAACGATGTGACTGAATGAAATATATTTTATTTTCCTTTTGCTGGCGATAACAGATGAACCACATAAAGTTTGGGATGGTTATAAGAAAAAAACTATAAACGAGGCAGAGGTATGAGACCTTAAGATTATTGTTAACACAAAGATAAGGCCACTAATTTGAAAAACAAAAATTAATATGTAGTTACAGATTGAAGCATTTAAAGTAAAAAACACATATATTCTTTCCGGAATGTATTATTATTTTCAGAGATATATGAACCAATTTTTTATCAATTAAATCTCTTGTGTTGGTTGGCAGGAGGTGTCGGCAGATCTCGAAGAAAGCAAATACCAGAATTCAGAGTTGCGGCTGTCCATCTACGGCAAACACCCAGAGGAATGGGATAAACTGGCGAAATGGGCAATAGATGGTGATGTGTACTCTGACAACGTGCGCTGGCTAATTCAGATTCCACGTCTGTTGTGAGTAACGGAAAGAATTAATTTTATATTAATGCTTCGTTGTGCAAAATGAATAAAGTATGAGGGCTGTTCATATTTTATTAAGAATTTGTATTGTTTCTCAAAGTCTGCGTTGGGAGCAAACCCACCCTAAAAAATGCTGCCCTGCAGGAATAGGATAAGTGTATACATGCAAGTGAAAGTATCTCAGTGAAATGGCCTAATCTGTAATAAATAAGATGATTTATTGACATTCTGTGAAGAAAATTTCAGGTCATATTTGATCTGCCCACGTATATAAGAGGATAAATAGTTGTAAGGTCCTGACAATTGAAACCAGGACTTCTTGCATTGGTAACTTTACTTATTTAAAATTTTTATAATTGCCAGCCCAAAAAAGTAATTTTACATTAAAATTATAAATAATCAATCGATGTAATTCTCTGTTGGTCACGGAAATCCAAAAAAGCAAAATACTGGTATATACTGTGAGATAAAATTAAGTTTCGTAGTATCACATCCAGTATTTTGCACATTTTCTGTTGAATAAACATTTACACACTTGTTTTGATGCGGGGTTGTATAAACATTCTCTCGGGACAATATCGATTGTACAGTCATTAAAGTGTGCAGCCTATATGTATTCAAGGTATTTTGGATAACGTTAAATTATCTGTGTATCAATCCTTTACAGTGACATTTTTAAGTCCAACAAGCTGATGAATAACTTCCAGGAGCTTCTGACCAACATCTTCCTTCCACTGTTTGAAGTCACAAACAACCCGAGAAGCCACCCAGAGCTCCACATGTTCCTGCAGTATGTGAGTATTCATTGATGGCTACGGAGTTTAAGAATCAAACGTCTAGACCAATATGGGGCAATTTCATGCCTTGAAATAAAAATCACTGTTCTTCAGATTTAATACAGGCAATATAACACATGAGTTCACCTCTGCTTAGGCATGTTAACGTGAGGCCAGCAGCCAGCTAGTCGGCTTTGGCTCTCAGAGGTTCGTTACGCCACGGATAAAAAAAAATATATAACACATGATTTTTGTCATCATTCACACATATTCTGAAGATGGCTGTCTTCTGGGTTGTTGCGCCGTGTAGTCTGGTAGATTTCCATGGCGCAACAACCCAGAAGACATCAATCTTCTGACTCACCGCTGTGAAAACCTCAAATCGTGCACACATATTCTGTCTACAGTGTTATTTTATTGTAGAAAAATGCCACTTATTGATTAAAGCAGTAATTTTTATTAATTCTAATCAACTGCTGTGCAGTGTGTAAATTACGAAGTTCTGTTCTCCGCTTCCTGAATTTCTCATTAGGACTTATTTTATAACCATACAAAATTATAAAATAGTTAGTTAATCTTGAATATTTTGGAATTCATATATAACAACAAGTATTCAGCTGAATAACTATATATTGTTTTGCTGAATTTATTTCTCATGAATTCTCAGAGGGATTGGTCCATGGTAATTTTAAATTAGAACATCTATACTCTTAATTACCATGCCTACTTCTGATCTGAGCTTCACATAAAGATGTCAGTGTTTACATACACTCATTAGTTCACGACCTGTATCTTTCAGGTGGTTGGATTTGATTCTGTTGATGATGAGAGTAAGCCAGAGAATCCGTTGTTCGATAAGGATGTGACACTGCCAGAGCAGTGGTGTGATGAGGAAAACCCACCGTATGGCTACTATCAGTACTACACTTATGCCAACATGACTGTTCTGAATCATTTTCGCAGGTAAGTCACTCAGAATAGTTCTGTTTCTTACTGTCGTTATGGATATTTCTTTTCCCCAGTTTCTGTAGCAAAAAACGTCACCACATTAGTTTGAGATTCAAAAAGACTAAAACTTTTTTTATGCTGACAAAGAAGTCAATTGAACAGTAAATATACAGCAATGTGCAGTTAATCAGAGATGTAGCGTATGTGTTAGATCTTACAAATAATCTTCCCATTCCTTTCATAATGTTTTTAGTTCACTAAACATAACCGTACTTCCCAACTGAAGTGAGTTTCTTTAACATTTTCAAAATTTTATTCATACCAAATTCAAGCATGTCACTCACTTTACACGGATTGGACTGAAACACATTTAGATGAATGTCTTTATGATATCTCCACTTGTTTCCTTTAAATTGCTGTTTTTATAGTAGTTAATGTATCGAGAGACATGTTTCAGAGGTAAATGATACTAGAAGGCAAGGAACAACTTTGTCTTATAGGTTTCATGACTTGTAAGTCCAAATTGCATTCACCCTTAGATTAGTTTCTCTGAATAATCAGTGTAATATTTTTGTATACTCACAAATGTAAGTGCGTACTCATCATCATGTTAAAAAGACTTTAATGAGTCAGGTTTCTTTAAGTACACTTTCTCACATCTAATCTTCATGTTTTTCAGGGAACGAGGATTGAACACGTTTGTGCTGCGCCCGCATTGTGGTGAGGCAGGTCCCATTCAGCATCTCGTTTGCGGGTTCATGATGGCCGAGAACATCTCCCATGGACTGCTGTTACGGAAGGTGGGAGGAACGTGAAGTTACGGAATTTAACAGATGCTAAAAGCGTCACTTTTCGCGTTGTTATATAATTTGTCGTGTGTTTCAGGTACCTGTTCTGCAGTATCTGTACTATCTGGCGCAGATCGGCATCGCGATGTCACCTCTCAGCAACAACTCTCTTTTCCTCAACTATCATCGCAATCCACTGCCCGAGTATCTGGCCCGCGGGCTTAGTGTCAGTCTGTCTACTGATGACCCGCTACAGTTCCACTTCACTAAGGTGAGGAACCTCAGATTGTTTCTGCATGCGAATCATCGACATCCCAGACACTGTTCACTGTCATTTCCTCATCAAAATCTTTTCAGTTCTATTCATGTCCGTTCTCATTTGTTTAGTTTATTCCAATGTTAAGATGACTGCCTTCTGAGATGTTGCGTGATGCCTCCACCAAGGTTAAGAATAAGTTATTCCTCGCCCCCACTCTGCTGTATGTGTTTGTGGTGTTCTACAAGGGCGACTATAGTTTTTACCTTACCTGTATCATAGTTCTTGGTCTGTTCCAAATTATCCGTTTCACAATTTCAGGAACCCCTGATGGAAGAGTACAGTATTGCGGCGCAGGTATGGAAACTGAGCTCATGCGACATGTGTGAACTTGCCCACAACAGTGTCCTCATGAGTGGCTTCCCCCACAAGGTATGAGTTTGAGAGTTGCTCCTACAAGCGCGCTTCTTGCACGTGTTAAGGGATAATTTGAATATGAAAACTAAGGTTATCACGATAGTATAATCTGTATTATAATTTAAAAATATCAATATCTCGCAGTTCTTAAAACTTGTTGGTTTTTATATCCTGCTTGCAGATGAAGCAATATTGGTTAGGACCAAACTACACCAAGGAAGGCGTAGCAGGCAACGACATCACCCGAACCAACGTCCCTGACATACGAGTAGCATATCGCTATGAAACTCTACTTGATGAGCTGTCAAATATATTCAAGACTGTGGAAAAGGAATCGGGACCAGTCACGCCAATGACGTAAGTATTTGGTGGTTTGCTGAGATGGTGCGGGAGCTGATATTAGCTGTGGCTCTCTCTGTTGACTGAAGTAAATGTTCTGTTCACAGGAGGGTTGTCATAATGGTAAGTTTCGTTGAAATGTTTGTGTGCCCGTGTGTGTATGTGATGAAGCAGATGTTCAGCAGTGTACTCTCGTTATACATCCACATGTTCCGTGTTTTCACATGTCCAGTTTCATTTCAGTGCCGTGAGGAGCGTCAGTGTCCTATCCAAATTTTTAAAGTCTGTTACCTGCATCTAACCTTATCAGGATATGTGACACAGGTGAATTTTGGCACCAGTTTAACATCAAAGTGGTGAATGTTATGTGTTTCCCCCTCTTGAATGTTATCATTGTATGTTGCAATTTTCAGGAATGCAAACCCTGTGTATAACAAGAGTCGCTGGTAATATTATATTTGAGAGTGAAAGATTATTTTTTGTTCTACATTTACAATTCCAAAAGTATTTGAAAAAAAGTGATCTGGCCGCATTGTATTTGTGATCAGACTGGAATGTAGTGTTAGTGAAGTGAAACATTGAGAAGTACTTTCCATATGTAATAACTACAAGTGGAGTTTATTTTGTAGAATGTAAAGGAGTATGTAACTTTTGTAAATTCAAGTTGAGCTTAGCTTGAAATTAAATTCCGAAGTTTATATTGGAATATGTCTTGTGTCTTCTCATTCTGATGATGTTCGCTATTTTGATGGCCGTGAGGCATGAGAACTCACTTCTTTATAACCAAAGAATAAGATACGCTTTTAAAAGATGTGGAAATGTTTCAAGATAATGTGTTTGTTTATTAAATCTACTTCATTATTATATTATTTAACAAATATTTTGTACTGTTTTTGTACTTTTCATTTCATTGGTAACTGATTGATGAGACATACGCAAAAACATGTAGTATTCTTAGAGATGTATTAAC